GATTATCATAATTCATGTTTTTCTAATTATTTTTCAATTATAAAAGCAAGCGATTTTTTTGTCAACAAAAATACTAGAAAAATGACAATAGAAGCAATTCAGAAATGTGTTAATCGGGAAAGAATAAAGAAATGTAAATGGTATAATATTGATAGCAATAATAATCTAAAGATATTCAATTACTTCAATCAAAAGAGTTCAACGTATTGTGTGCCAGAATTGGAGTCTTTATTCAACTAATAATTACTAACTATTGCCCTTCAAAGAATGAAAATGGAAGAATTAAAGTTGCTATATCACACTATTATTTAGTTTAAGATTATCGAGAACTTATCATTAGAATTTAAAATGGAGTTTTGGATGTGTTTTTGAGGATAAATGCTAAAGATATTGAATAGCAATGAAAAATAAAAAAAACACACAAGAATTAATTAGTTGGTGCTATAATTCCAGTTTGTTCTCTGGATGATGCTCATTCATTGGATTGAAGTTTTATTTTTAAGATTTGACGGATATTGCTCTATATGATATGAAAATACTTTGGTTTAGCGAACCTTATTATTGTTGTTATTGTTGTTATTATTTAGTAATAATGAAAAATTAACTTGAATCTTAAAAATAAAAATAAAAAGTTCATTTGATTGAAGTGCATAAATCAATAACTCAAATGACTGGACTCGTGCCTACTTTCAAGGAGGGCTACATCATTAGTCCTTTAAAAAATATAACGCCAAATTCAAATTTAATTGGGTTTCTTTGTTTTTAATTAAGTGGGTTTTTTATTTATGATTATAATACATAAAAATACATGAGTGTTATGTTCTCATTAGGGTTTTGGATTCTTGGAATTTATTTGACGCAATTAGATTATAAACATTGATAAGAAAATATTCATATGACTGATGTTAAAGAAACCTGATATTTCCAAGCAGACTGTTTCAATTTTATTCGTCGCTTGGAACGCATCTTTTATATTCTTGCAAGTATAACGCGTCCGAGAGAACAACGCGTTCAGCTATTAAAAAAAAAAAAAAGAAATCTAATAAAATATTTTCGGAAACTACATTATCATCCATTAGTTTTGGAAAAAAAGAAACTACCTTGAAATTTATTGTTCTACTTTAAAATTGTTTCATCATTTTTACCTCTCCTTGTTGATAATCACACATTAAATTGTTTTCCAATTGTTGGTAGTAAATCATTTTCTAAAATTTTTATATAGTCAAGGCGATTCATTTTACCTTCAACTTTAACCAATGGTCCTAATCCCTTTCCAGAAAAACATCCCCATACCATTATTCCACCACCACCATGCTTAACAGAAGGAACCATATTTTCAACGTTATAATGTGTACAGTCGAACCCTCATTTCAACAGACTTCGTTTCAACGGATTTTTGTTTCAACGGATTTTTGATTTTACCCCTTGATTTTATCAATTAAAAAATTCTCGTTTCAACGGATTTTATATTTAAATCGCGTTTCAACGGACAACGGATTTTTTGGTAGGATTTTAGTAATAAGTACTAATCGCGTTACAACGGATTCACGTGATATACATTTTATAAAAAAACCCCCCACATTACTACTATATTAAGATTAATTTAAAATCCCTACTAAATAATAATAATATTAATTTTCCATATTTCTAAATAATGATTTTACATGAATAATTAAACACACATTACTAAATAATAATATTAATCAAATTTTCCATATTTCTCAATAATGATTTTACACGAGTAATTAAACACACATTACTAAATAATAATATTAAACAAATTTCCCATATTTCTAAATAATGATTTTACATGAATAATTAAACACACATTACTAAATAATAATATTAATCAAATTTTCCATATTTCTCAATAATGATTTTACACAAGTAATTAAACACATTACTAAATAATAATATTAATCAAATTTTCCATATTTCTAAATAATGATTTTACATGAATAATTCTTCTTTAAAAAGTAACCTCATTATTGTTTTAATCAAAGATTCAAGTCTCTTCTAAATGTATAAATAAAGGTGAATTTTCTTTATTTGAATTTTTTAAAGTTGATAAATTGATAGATAATAAATAAATATCTTCTAATAATTCTACATAACCAACATTTTCTTTGATTTCTTTAAATTAATAAATCTCTAAATTCTACAAAATTAAAATGTCTCAACAACTATCTTCTTTTTCCAAAAAAATGTGAAAAAGCTTTTGAAACTGCTTTTAATTTTCTTGAACAAAATAATATAAATAATATACAAGCAGATTATAATGAATTAAAAGCTTTAAAATCATTGAAAAAAAAAACAATAAAATCACATAGTATTCAAAATTCAATACAACAAACGTTACTAGTTTTTCAGTAAATAATTGACTATTAGTTAGCATTTAATTTTTTGTAAATTATATCAAGTATTGTATTAAGTATTATTTATTATATTTAAATCACAAAAAATTTTATTATTTATTAAAATTTTCCTGTTGATCCTGTAGATCATTATCTCGTTTCAACGGATTTAGGTGGTCAGTCCCATAGATCCGTTGAAACGAGGTTGACTGTAATTGATACTAGATCGGCTCACGTTACACGAGCATGAAATATCTCTCTGAAATATTGTAAACTTAAATGCATAAGTATAAGGGTTCCCTCATAACCTCCATGTATAGCTTGTGAAAATCGGTGGAAGCCTTAGAATCTGTGTATGGCGAACCAATGAACCATGAATTGATTTAATCAGGAACGATACAAAAATTTGCTACGACTTTCCAAATGTTTTTTAACACCAATGACCTTTAAAGCAGCGGCTTCTCCCATAAGATTTCAATTCATCTTTTGTCTTCCCACAGGGTATGTATGTTGTTCTACTAATCTTCTGAGTAGGGAAAAGTGATATATGAAATATGATTGCTCACGAAATCTTAGAGATTACGAATAGTGTTTTCACATTCCTTGGATTTGCTGGCATTGCACGACAAACGATTTTGCAAAAGCTTGGTCAAGGAGATTCCCATGCTTGTTCACTCACAAAATTATACTTTGTGAACATAGAACAACAGTTTGCAGAGATAACCTTATTGGTAAGAAGTGTAATTTATGATGAAAAGACCGAAATCTCACTGAGGTACATTTTTCCTGTTTGATTCCGTGTTTTGTAGAAAGTGCTTTTTTTGGAAAAATGCTTTTAGCGTACATGTGGTGAATCCCTTGAACGTCTTCATGGCGTGTACGGTGAAATCCGTAGTCTATCTTCATACAGGAAATTCCTTGAACGTAGCTGGAAACTGAACCGGTGTTCCGTTAATATTAGGTATATTCACCATGAAAATTCCTTTCGGGAAGTATCTTCTACAGCATCATCCGTCGTCTTCAATCGTCACCTCGTTGGGTTGCCAGGCCATGCTTTTTATAAGAGGGATTAGTGATTGATCCATGATGTAAAAAAAAGGAAAGTTAATAATTTAAACTAGCCCACTCAGATGTTGCAACTGTTCACATGATTATATTATTAACGGAATTGAAGTAAATATTGCTATCGCGTAAATTTCTTTTCTTTTTATTCCATGTAATAAAAATAACATTTTATTTTATTTGTCTTTTTTTTTTAAATAAAATGTTTATTATTATTTAACAATCGAATAAACTTTTATTTTATTTTTTTTTGATATAACCTTTTTCTTTGATTATATCAAATTTTTTGATAAACTCTTTGATAAACTCGTTTTCAAAATCAGATTGCAAAATATCTTTATAATAAAAACGTTTACAACTGAATTTTTTATTTTTATGAATTGTTGGATTTTATTATATGAAATAATTGACGTGATAGAGCGAGAGAGAGAAAGAATTTGATAAAATAATAAATAAATTCGCAAATTGAAAAGATTTCCATTTAAAAAATAAATGTCAACAAAAATACTAGAAAAATGACAATAGAAGCAATTCAGAAATGTGTTAATCGGGAAAGAATAAAGAAATGTAAATGGTATAATATTGATAGCAATAATAATCTAAAGATATTCAATTACTTCAATCAAAAGAGTTCAACGTATTGTGTGCCAGAATTGGAGTCTTTATTCAACTAATAATTACTAACTATTGCCCTTCAAAGAATGAAAATGGAAGAATTAAAGTTGCTATATCACACTATTATTTAGTTTAAGATTATCGAGAACTTATCATTAGAATTTAAAATGGAGTTTTGGATGTGTTTTTGAGGATAAATGCTAAAGATATTGAATAGCAATGAAAAATAAAAAAAACACACAAGAATTAATTAGTTGGTGCTATAATTCCAGTTTGTTCTCTGGATGATGCTCATTCATTGGATTGAAGTTTTATTTTTAAGATTTGACGGATATTGCTCTATATGATATGAAAATACTTTGGTTTAGCGAACCTTATTATTGTTGTTATTGTTGTTATTATTTAGTAATAATGAAAAATTAACTTGAATCTTAAAAATAAAAATAAAAAGTTCATTTGATTGAAGTGCATAAATCAATAACTCAAATGACTGGACTCGTGCCTACTTTCAAGGAGGGCTACATCATTAGTCCTTTAAAAAATATAACGCCAAATTCAAATTTAATTGGGTTTCTTTGTTTTTAATTAAGTGGGTTTTTTATTTATGATTATAATACATAAAAATACATGAGTGTTATGTTCTCATTAGGGTTTTGGATTCTTGGAATTTATTTGACGCAATTAGATTATAAACATTGATAAGAAAATATTCATATGACTGATGTTAAAGAAACCTGATATTTCCAAGCAGACTGTTTCAATTTTATTCGTCGCTTGGAACGCATCTTTTATATTCTTGCAAGTATAACGCGTCCGAGAGAACAACGCGTTCAGCTATTAAAAAAAAAAAAAAGAAATCTAATAAAATATTTTCGGAAACTACATTATCATCCATTAGTTTTGGAAAAAAAGAAACTACCTTGAAATTTATTGTTCTACTTTAAAATTGTTTCATCATTTTTACCTCTCCTTGTTGATAATCACATGAGTGCTTAAGAATAAATGAAAATAGAGGGGTCGAATGTAATTAGACCCGACCCAAATCCGATGATTTGTTTATATGCAACCAATACGATAAATGGGGTAGAACTTTGATATTAAAATCTATTTTTAGAATATAGAATACCTGGCAAAGGGCTCAAAATAATTTTATAGTTTTTCTCGAAAATTTGATCGACAAATTTAGATCCAAGTATGGTATAGTTCTTATCGCATATATATGGCAATTGACATCTCTATCTGAAAAACCTTATTTTATATATATTAATTAAATTACATTACTATTATTATTATTTATATTTTTTCCATTGAAGTAACTAATTTGTAATTTCTTTGAAAAAAAAAAAAGAAAATATTTTCTCCTCCCTGTTAAAATATTTAAAGATGTTTCACTAATTGTTATTATTAGAAAAATTTTCTTTGAATTGAAATATTAATTGAGAACTTAAAGAGGAAGAAAGAAGAAAAGGCGAGAGTTTAATCAATCGATATCACATTTATTACGCATTAAATTATCAAACAAATCTATTTCTTCGCGCGCCAGTTTCTTTTCGGGTGTGCGACGCGCGCAAACTTAACGAAACAAGGAAACAAAGAAAATTCAAATAGGGCATTTCAATGAAATGAAAAAAAAACGAATTAATCCTTAGTTAGAAAACAATTAAAAACTTTCTTTTGTTATTTATTAATTTGGTATTTTTATTATTGTCAGTATTTATTGGGCAATTTTAAGGTGTCCAGAAACCAAATTAAAATAATTGATTTACACAATTTAAAAAACCCAAAAAATTTATTGTTTTATTATTTGTGCGATTTGTTTTATTTAGTCAAAACCAATGGTGATTTATTCCGATATTTTCTTTATCCATTATCATAATTCATGTTTTTCTAATTATTTTTCAATTATAAAAGCAAGCGATTTTTTTGTCAAAAGAAAAACATTTTCGTATTATTTGTTATAATAAACAACGATAATAACCTATTCTTTCATTTAAAACAATTTTCGATTTTCAAATCTTCCTAACCACGTTAAATATATATATACACACTCACGTTCTCTTATAATACTTCGCTATAAATATTTACATACACACGTCTAATACATTAAAATGGGAAATCGTTTGAGCATCGGCATCGGCAAGAATAAAATTTTTTTATCATCAGATGGGGCCCAAGAACCTTACACGAACAATAACTATCAACAACAAACTTCGTCAATAAAAATACGAAGGTTTAATAGCTTCGCTAAAGAGTCTACTAATAATAGAAATAATAATCTCGAAGACGATATGGAAGGAATGACGTTGATAGGTGACAACGAAGATATCGACAGGATCAACTCGATACATTACTATTACTGTTTGTCTTGGAAAAGTGCATTTAGTTCACCGGTATCCAAGATTCTTGAAGAAGGAGGATCGGTTCTTGACGTTTGGTAAATAAACTTTATAAATTATAAATTATATATATATACACGATGATGTTAATATATTGATATTATTTTTTAGTTGTGGTAATGGCGTGTGGATTCATGAATTGGCAAGCAGATATCAAAGTAGTAAATTCACTGGTATCGACATTTCACCAATATTTCCCGCAGAAATAAAACCTCGTAACGTCAATTTTTTAAAAGGAAATATCTTGGAGGGCTTGCCGTACATTGACAATAATTTTGATTTTGTAAATTTGCGTTTCATGTTGCGCTATTTTAACATATTCGAGTGGAATGACATTATACTTCACGAACTGTTTCGTGTCACTAAAGATGGTGGTTGGATCGAGGCAAGTTTTCTATTTGTTTGTTTTTGTGCACATATCTAATATTTTCATCCTAGTAATATATTATTATTATGTGTACTAGATTATGGATACTGATTTGTTACCATACAATATGGGTGACAAAACTCGAGACTTTATCACTAAATGTGAGCGGAAAAAGTTAACTTTAATATATGTATTGTATTATTTATAATTTTACTAACGTTTTACCACTTGTAAAACTACAGATTTAAAAATATTTGAACCTAATCTTAATTATGATATTACTCTAAAGCAAGTGGTTGATTTATTGTATAGTTGTTACAAAAATAAATCAGTGGTATTCATTGAAGAGAAAGATAATGCGTGGTATCCATACAAACATGAAGAAACCGGGAAGACTATAAATATTGGTAAATTCATTATAATTAATAAATGTTAATTTTGATATTTACAATTCACTTATCTTCTTATATTTAGCTCAAGAAATCCTCATATCCTTACGAAAAAAAATGGGAAATTCCTTGGAATCGGAAGAAGAGGATTACAGCGTTTTAATGAACGAAATTTACAACGAATTGATAACAAATCAAACTTACGGAAAGTCATACAGAATCCTAATACAAAAAGTCAACAATAGCAACAATAACAATAACAATAACAACAATTCCTTACGGTTAAGTCATTCAGTTTAAATTGCCATAGCAAATGTTGTAAATTTCTGTTATTTCTTTCTTTTCAATATTTTTCGATGTAATTTACTTCCATTTTGCATTCATTCTTTTATCCTTTTACGCATTCAATATATGTTATGATATTAATAATAAATCTCCAATTTTTTTGACCGTATACTCACTCGTTGGGCGGTTCGTTAAAGTAGAGATGACCCTGTTTCTCATCTCTGTAAAACGTTATATTGATGAATCAGTAATAATTTTGCCTACATAACTTTTTTACCAACTAAAGAACTTTAATTCGTGATCGCGATGTACCTAATTGACTTTATTATTATTACATCGTCTCTCATCTCAAGAAAATCCATCTCAAGTCTTAAAACACTTCCACTTCTCACCTTCACTACGGAATAGTAGTATATAGCAGTCTCGCTTATCTTTATTTTTTGTCTTCATTTTTTTAAAGTATATCGTCATCTTAGTAGTGTTTATTGTAAACCTAATGAAAGCAATCTGCGTCTTTCGCTAGCCCTGCTTTCTTTTTTGAAAACTCTGCCTACTCGCTCCAGATATAAAACTCTCTAGGAAATTTGAACATTCATAATAGCGAGTTAGGACCTGGCGTAGTACAAAATTCATTTTGATCACATCACAAAGAGTGTAGAGATATTTCCTTTAAAATTGCAACACACAGCTTTAATTACAGTTTTTTATTCTCAAAAACTTGATTTTAATCGTTTCTTTTGAAAAATAACTATTGATTGGTTACAATGACATGTTTGTTAAAGAGTTACTTTTGTTTAAACATATAATTATAAAAATAGGTTTTTTATTAATTGGTAAATAAATAGTGTATGTAGAGTAATTGTTATATATTTTTAGTTTAATATAATAAAGCTTCGATTGAGATTTATATTTACAAAAAAATTTTGAAAATGATTACAAAACAGAAGTTTTTTTTTTTAATAAAATGAAATTATTTTTTAATCATTATGACTATTTCTATATTTTTCAAAAAAAAATATAATGATTAATTAATAGAAAGATCTATGGTATATAATTATAATTAAAAAACAAATCAAAAATGTGTGTTTGTTTACCTGTATAATCTTTCTTGAGTTACATGGATATCATCAATTTCTGGTGCAAGTACAGCAAGAGTTTCATATGCTTCTTTATAAAAAGCCAATTGAGCATTCACTAAATCTGATAAATTACGAAGAGGTTCAGGCTATATAATTATATATATTTGTATGTGTGTGTTGCATTTATGTATGTAATTAATATAATTATTCCTTAAAATATTCACAATAAATATCAATATCAATATTAATATTAAAATAAATAATGAATATACACTAACTTTGTCAAGAACAGATTTCATCAATGTAGTTGCCTCTTCAACAGCAGCCACAAATTGATCTTCAGCCTGTTCAATTTCCAATTTTGCAGCGTCAGACAATTCAGGTTGAGTTGGTTTATATTTTGCTTTGATAGTGTCAAGTGCCAAACGAGTTGATCTTACATGTTTTCTAGCCTTCATCGCATATTGTAAATCGGTATTCAATGTTGTGCTAAATGGTTCGACAAATTTTTTAGTAATCTCTCTATCCATTTTCACTCGTTGCTCACCAATACGTTCTTGCATAATTGCAAACTTGCTTAATGCGATTCCAAGTTGTTCCTCGTTACCAAAAAGTTGTGCTCCTTGTGAAGCAGCTCTTGATAGCGCGTGGGGTAAAGTCTTTGATTGTTGTGATGACGATGATGAAAATGTTTGAGAAGTAGTGGTAGATGATGAATCTGAAAATTCGGTAGTACTCTTGGTTCTTTCAGTTGGAACTTGCTTTAAATAACCACCTACGCTTCGTGAAAGTTCTACAACAGATTCTTGAAGTTGATTTGGGTAATCGTACGATGAATTGGTGTAAGTACGAGTGACATGAAGCAAATTTGTGTGGAGAGTACGAAGTGCATCAACTCTCTTTTCATTTTAAAAATAAAGTAATATATAAAATATCTATTTATAATAAAGCCGTTGAAATGATTATGTTTCAAATAAAATAAGACTTTTTACCCTTTCAAGATCTTTATACTCTGCGGGAAGATCGGTAATTTCCTCTGCTGTGCCAAGTTTTTCTGATACAACCTTTGTTTTTTTTTTTACAATTTTTAATTTTAATTTTAATTGTTTTTAAAAATTACCATTGCCTAAAAAAAATGATACTTTTTTTTTAAACTTACCTGACGAATTTGACCAAGGCCTTTATTAATATTAGTTAAATTGAATCTTGATGACAATTTGTCCATTTTCTTTAATGTATTTTCATAAATATGAAATGTGAAGAGAAATATTCTTTTAAATGGTGGATTAATTTCATTTCATTTACTTTTGACAAGTGTTACACGATTCAAATATGCAATCATGGGTTTCCACGATTTGGTTCTATATGATTTTTCCAATCTTAATCTGGAAATCCATACGGAAAAGATTTTCCTTTTATCATTCTTCAAATCGATATAATAATAAATGCATTCACGAGTTTTATTAATTGTCTTTGTTACTCTAATTTCTTTAGCCTTTGCAACTATACAAATACAATATGATAAAGATCATAATAATTATGGAAATCATGAACGAATCAAACAGTAATTAAATTATTTTATAATCATGTAATTTATAATGATTTTTTACAATTTTCTAACTTTACAAAAAACAATAGACATGTGGTAGAACATTTAAAGGAAGCAAATTTACCATATGGGACTCTAAAAGAAAATGATGAACTATTTTATTTATTTTCACTTCCTATGTTATAACATACACAATATAGTTTGCATGAATCTTAAGCAATGTAA